GCAGCAGCAGGGGCAGCGGCACCGGCCGGGGCAGCGGCAGCGGCAGCAGGAGCAGCGGCAGCAGGAGCAGCGGCAGCGGCCGGGCGCTCGGTGCGCGGCGGCGCCGGCAGGGCCGAGGGCAGCGGCGGGGGCGGGCCCGGGAGCCTGGGGGGGCCCGCGCGGGGATGCGCTCGGGGCGCCGCGGCTCCGGCTCGGGCTCCGGCGGCTCGGGCGGCTGGGGAGCGAGCTAGCGGCGCGGCCCGGGGAGGCGGAGGAGCGCCAGTCCGAGGCGGCGGAGGAGGCGCAAGGGGAGGAGGCGGAGGCGCCGGCGCCGGAGGAGGAGCGGCCGCGGAGGAGGAGGCGGCGGCGGGGACGGGGACGGGGACGGGGACGGCGGCCGGAGCCCGAGCCCGAGCCCCCGCGCACCATGGCTGCCCAGGGCGAGCCGGGCTACCTGGCGGCGCAGTCGGACCCGGGCTCCACGAGCGAGCGCAGTACCGACTCGCCCGTGCCGGGGTCCGAGGACGACCTGGCCGGGGGCCCCCTGCCCAGCCCCGAGTGGAGCGAGGAGCGCTTCCGCGTGGACAGGAAGAAACTCGAGGCCATGTTGCAAGGTAGCTTCCCCCGCCCCACCTCGGACCCGGGGCCATCCCCTGCTGCCCTCGGACCCCGCGCCTCTCCCTCACCTGTAGCCTCTCCCCGTCCCCGGGACTCCCACTGCACCCCCTGGGGCACTCCTCTCTTTTCTTGCAAAAAGTCACTACGTCTCCCAGGGCCTCAGTTTCCCAAAACATCGGCGAAACTGGGGGGTGCGTGTGCGTTGAGATGATGTTGAACTGCCTTCCCTAGTCTTATTCCTTTGGGAATCTGCCCAGACGAGCAGGGGGGTGGAAGCCTTTCCATAGCGCTTTAAGGGCAGCAGAGCGCTTTCTTTCCCGGCCCGGGAGCTCAGGGCTTGGCCGTCTCCTTCTCCGCCCAGCTCGGGCTCCTCTCCCCCGGCCCGGGTCCCCGCCGGGCTCCCGGCTCTCCGCAGCTGCCGCTGCTCACTTTCTCGGAGCCCTCCTCTTCCCTCCTGGCCTAGGGGGCCCGGAGGAAATGATTCCTCCTCCCGTCGCCCTCCTTACCCGTCCCCGCCTCCAGTCTCCCCCGGCGGAGCGGAGCAGGGCCTCCTTGGGGGGGATCCCTCAGCAGCGGGGGTGTGGGGTGGGGTGGGGTGGGGAGCCCCGCTCCCCACTTAGGAAACTCACTCCCCCCCCTCCACTTCCCCGCCGGCGGGATCGTCCGGTCCTGACCCCACCGGCGGCCAAACTTTTCCTTGAGGGGTGCCCGGGAGAGGCCCTTAAACTTGAAATCGGGCGCCCTCGCACCGGCACAACACCAAGCAGGGTGACGGCACCCGAACTTGGGGCAGGATGCCGCCTTGAGCCTGGCCAGGCTCGGCCTACGTCCGCTTTCCTGCCTGCTCTCCCTTTCTGTCACTTTCCTCCCGCCTCCCCCCCTTCCCCTTGTCAGTATCCACTTCCTCCAGCTGAGGGGCCTGGGGGATGTGACTCACGTTTTAGGATGGGGTACCCACCCCCACCCCTTCTTGGGGCAGAAAGGTCCAGGATGAAAGGGGGGGGGAGGAGCTGTGACCGTAGCCCGGAGAGATTCTCGGCAGTGCCGATGTGTGTGAGCACAGGGTTGCCTGCATGTCCTGCTGGGCTTAGGAGGACACATGCTGAGTCAAATGCATTTCAGAATATGTCTCCCTTCCTAGGAATATAGGTGTCATAGTTTGCGTTTCACAAATCGAAGCAGCAAGTCAAATCGACAGATATTTGTTAACGGCCAGTTGTGTGCCCTGCACCGTGTTAAGTGCTGGAGATAGAAAAGACAGCCCCCGCTTTCAAGGGGCTCACCGTCTAAAGGCGGAGGCGTCATGCCAACATCTGAGTACAAACAAACATAAATGAGGGATGAGAAGAGAGGGCAGATTTTAAACTCCTGTTTTATTCCTTTCTTTTCCTTTCCCTGACCAGAAAAACTTGTAGTCATGCCAGGCTCCAAATCAGTTTTGACTAAGCACGTTAACATTTAGAGTTTAGAGAGAGCCCGAGGTAACTCTGACTTTCTGGGGAAATGTGAAGCTGGAGCTGACCCAGAGTGACTTGAAACACTTGGGCCTTCCCTGGTGTGACAGTAAGAAACCAGGACAGACAGTTGTAAGGATTGCCAGTGATGGTTTTGCAAAATAAAGCTCTAACAAGACAACCACCTATTCAAAGTGTCCCGTGAAGGTTAGTCATGTGGCTTGAGGAGAAGTTCAAGGCAAATCAGGTCTTGTTCAAACCCCCCCAATGCTTGTTTGGACTTTGTTAGGAGGGAGCCTCAGCTTTGGAGCGCTTCCGGCTTGTGGTAGTCACTTGAGGCCTTTTGGGGACAGTGAAGCAGGTTTTTCTAAGAAAGGACAACATATTTTCCAAAATAATCACTTTGGAAATGCAGAACCGGAGGCGTTTGCTCTTTGGTTTTGGGTCTGCTGCACACTTGCCATCATCCTCACTCGTTCCTTCTTGAAAAACCATCTGGATGGTATGAGAAGGTTGTTTCTCTGTGTGTTTTGAATTATGTAACTTTCCAGGAAAGTTCCTCCATCTTACTTGCTAAAGCCTTCATAACCCACATTCCCAAGTCGCAACCTTTTCTTTGAGTATGACAGATTTTAGTTGTCATTTATTAGGTATTCCATTCCTGAAAAAAAAAAAACCCATAATTGTTAAAGCAAATCATTTAAAGGAAAATATCAGTAAAGAAAAAATTCTCTTGTGAATTGGCTGCCTCAAAAACATCCCTCTCAAGACATTTCAAGACACTTGTTTCTTGGATGTGTTTGAGTTGACTTGGGAAAGATGAATGTAGGAGTGAATGAGTGCCAACGCACACCATGCCGACAGGAGAGGCCAGAGGAGGAGATCAGAGGGATTTCTAGGCATTTACAAAGTCAGTATCATTTAGTGTAAAGAGACATGGGGTTTTCGATGCAAAGACCTGTGTTCTAAGTCTACACTAAGTAGTGACTTGACCTTGGTTGAGTTCTTTTCCCTCTCTACACCTCAGTTTCCCCACTTGTAAAATGATGGCATTAGATGAGATGAAGGTCCTATGCCAGACCCTCTGTGATTCAGTGGGAATCGGCCACTCATCTGTTTCCTCTATGGGCTGATGTCTGTGTTTTCTGAATCATCTGTTTATAAAGAGTCAGGCCCCTTTCTAGGAGGCATGTATGTGCTTTATTGGTGGTTGTTTTAACCAGTGAAGCTTGTTTAAACCTTTTCCTTAATGGGTAGCTCTGTGGAGGTGGTAGTTAGGCCTGGTGTTCTCCAAGAACTGTCCTCCTTTGCAGTTGGCAGACTTCAGCTTGAGAGGTTGTAGTCATAAGAAGGCTAGTCTTGGCCCAAGAAGACCACAGTTGAAATCCTGCTTCTGATGCTTCCTATCTGACCACGAGCAAGCCACTTCATCTCTCTTCTCATCTGTAAAATGGGGGTAATACTAGCCATAGAACCTACCTCACAAGATTGTTGTGAGCCTCGAATGAGCTCATCTAATTTGTCAAATGCACTTGAAACCTTACAATGCTCTATGAAAGGCAGTGATGTCTGTTTATTTGAATTATCTTTTCTCATATTTTCCCAGTGGAATTTAGGTAGAAAAAAGTCCCGGGACAAGCCCCTATTATTATTATTATTATTATTTTTTTGATGAGGCAATTGGGGTTAAGTGACTGAGTCACACAGCTAGTAAGTGTTATGTGTCTGAGGTGAGATTTGAACTCAGGTCCTCCTGACTCCAGGACTGGTGCTCTATACACTGTGCTACCTAGCTGCCTCCCCGCTATTATTAATGTAGAAAGGTATAATGAAGTTAATGCTCCTTTAGGACTGGTGAGGACCTCCCATGTCATCTTGTCTAACCCACTCATTTTCAGAGGAGGAAACTGAGTCCCAGAGAAGTGGGCAAGGGTGTGAGCAGTTTTCATGTTTCCTTTGCACAAAACAGATCTCTTGCCATCAGACTTCTTTTGTCCCTTTACCATCAGGAAAGAAAGAGGTGGCAGAAGAAGTCCTCTGTACAGCCCTGCACTGGGTCATGTAATGCAGCTTTTCCCTGACCCAGAACACTTAAGCCATCTTGGCTTAAACTCACTTACTTATAAGTAACTGAAGTTCGTGCGGTCTCTGATCCCTTCCCAGGGTCCCAGCATCTAGTGGAGTAAACTGAATGTTTACCTCTAAAACCTGCAAGCTTCTGGTACCTTTAGTCCTCAGACAGAGGGACTTGTATACCCAGCCATCTGTGAAGAAATTGGTCCTGATAAGGAACAGCAAGCAAAGTTACAATAATAGTAATAGGTATGTTAATGACACTTGAAGGTTTGCAAAGCATTTTACATGCATCATCGCATCATTACATTTAATCCTCACAACAGGCCTGGAGTGGGTGGGTGAGTTTCTTATTCCCATTTTGCAGATGAGGAAATAGGCTCAGAGAGGTTAACCTGCTTGCCTGTGTAAATGTCAGAAGCTGAATTTGAACTCAGGTCCAGTTTTCTCCTTTCCTTCCCCTCCCCTCCCCTCCCTTTCCCCCTTTCCCCCTTCCTCCCTTCCTCTCTTTCTTTCTTTCTTTCTTTCTTTCTTTCTTTCTTTCTTTCTTTCT